GCCCCCGTCGCCCGGTTCGCCGCGCCGCTGATCAACCACGCTGTGCCTCTTACCTACGGCGCCCACATCGCGCCTCTTGCTGTTGGCCATGCTGCCCTCACACATGTTTGGTAGATGTGAAGTGGAACATCATAAACATAAATGCAAATAAACGTTTCAATGAAATATAAACTTTACAACTTTTAATTTTACCCTATCTTTTTAATATTTACTATAATCAACCGTCACATCGGCCTGTCATTTCCAATGCTGTATTTAAATCGTCCTCGTTGAACAAGAGGCTACCGGCCACCGCGACACCTGTCGCTTTGATACCCATATCGTTACTACGAAGCACAACATGCCTCTTGCTTCAACCTTTAACCCCGCGGCTATCACACGCATTATGTACAATATATGAAACGACGAAGCACAAATACATAAATATGAATGTAAAACTCAACTATTTTTCATTTTAGTTACTAATACGCTATTAAGCAACCAGTTTTTATGCTAAATTGCCTATTTGACAACCGTAAGTTAGACCATCCTTTTCCCACTTATAAGGCCTAGCTTTTGCCTGTTACTTTAACTGCGCGGAGTAATAAAAGAACTTTTAAAGCCCACGGATTTTTCCATACAGTGTTCTGTATCTAAAGCAAATTTAATTCCGATCGATGCCATCTATCAAACATTTTGCATTTATGATATTGCTAAGATAATATGTGAAGAACTGGATTGTTCATGTAACACAAAACGAATCTTACTTTATACCGCTTGCTATATTTCATACCCCCGGTTTCTATGCGTTTTATTGTCTTTCATAGTTATAAAGAATTCTTGACTAACTAGAATTCGATTTTTTACATTGATTCTAAAGTTTCTGGTGAATGCAAACCTATAAAATACTCATAAAAAATTGTATATAAATTTGAGCAGACTTCAATATTTATACACAACGTAACATATGAAATTATTATTTATATACCTAAGAAGGTGGAAAAGAAGCTACTAGATAACAATATGTAATGTAACCGTGGCACATAAACATCTTTATACAATTGCAGATGTTTTCTTTAACGGCAAGGGATGGATAAGGGGTAAATTAAAAAAAAACATCGATTTCTAGCTATGGGGATAGGAAGGGGATTCCGTTAGGTCCACCTTAATTGCTCATATTTCCTCGTAAGAAAAAAATTAAAAGAGATACATCTTTTACGCGCGTTACAACACGCTATAAGTGCTAAAAAAACTGTACAAACTACATATAGTTCTAGGTTATGTGTATTACATATACTCTTCAATTTCAAAGCGTAATTTATATTATCATAAAAATCTGGAATAGTTTAAAAATCAAACATCGAAATCAACCACAGACTCAAAGAATTAATTTGATGTAATCTCAACATTTCAAGATCTTACCACGTACGTGCTTCATTTCAATACAATATTTATAGTGTAGGGACGACACAAGGAAAAGTTTAATGTAGGTTACCAATGTAAACTTTGTAGGCTATTTCATTCAAAGTTAGAAATAACATGAGATTTTTTAATAACCATGAACATATTGTACTCCAGGACCTAAAGTTTAACACATACGATTATAATCTTACTAATATTATAAATGTGAAAGTTTAGATGGATGGATGGATGGATGCTTGTTAGAGTTTGTAGCCTAAACGGCTGAACGGATTTTGATGGAATTTGGTATAGATGTGGAGGATAGTCTGGAAGGACACATAGGCTACTCACTTTTGTTATTTTTTAATTCCACGCGGACGGAGTCGCGGGCAAAAGCTAGTTACTTTATAATTAAAGGAAAGAAATTGACAAAATGATAACGGTGATTATTTCAGAAAAAAAAAACAAATGAAAGCTGCATACGTACTGATTAAACCTTTAGATAGAACTGTACAACAAAAAGGCTTATCATTATTACCCCATTATACATTGAACCTAAGTTGTCACGTAAATGTTGTCTCGTCACGGTCAACGATGCATT